TTTGTTCTTCCTGCACCTGAGCTCACCTGGTGCTGCTTCCCCAGCCCTGCAGAGCAGAGACTTGGAGAACCCTTGGCCCTCCATCAGCAGCTTTCCATAGGCAATCCCGCCTGCTCAGGAACCAAAGCGAATAAAAGGTCACACAAGAAATATCACACAGGCTTTTTTTATGACAGCACAGCTGCCCATTTATATTTTATTTGCCTCCTGGATGTGGCACCGTGTCTCAGTTTAATCGGTTTAGCCGTGCTTGGGGAGATTTTTATTTTCTTTCCCTCTGACATGATTAGGTTTGTGGAAGCCAGAGCCGAGCAGAGGAGACGCGGTGCTCAATCACCGCCGCTCCCCAGCCCAGCGGTTCCTCCTGCCCTTTGCCAGGAAAAGGTGTGTTCTGGAGCCCTCCTTGCTTCCTGGCATGGGCATCATTCTGGCCACCTCGAGGAGCTGGAATACCACAAGCAGCCTGGGGAATATCCAGTAGGAAACAGTTTGGATAGCTTGGGAAATAACACCAAGAGCGTGGCTGGTGGGCACACATAAGGAGCGTGAGGAAAGGGGGCTTTGGAGCTCTCTGACAAATGCAAAACCCACCAGGGAGAGACCAAGTGGTGGGAAGGAGGATGTTTTTCTTCCTGGATGCACAGTCATTAATTCTGTTGATTCCATAGCATCCCATCACACCGGGGTGTGGGAGTGTTTCCGGTCACTCCAGTGACACTCTCCCCAAAAACAGGGCAGGGAAGGGCTTTGAGCTGCCAGGGTTTGTAGAGCCACACTCAGAGCCCTGCTCATGCCAGTTTGTGCTGGGAGTCACTGGATCTTGGCACTGAGGTTTAAAACATAAAAGTATTCCTTAGTGAAAGCAATACTTCCTTTCCTTTTAAGGACAGGAAAGAGGAATTGAGTTTCCTCAGCCTCAGTCCTGTGTCAGCGCTGGGAAGTGGCTGCACTGCTTTCTGCTGTGGCTATCCAAGCTGATTTTCCAAAGAAAGTAATCCCACTTTGTTATTTTTCATATTTCCCTTTGTGTGGAGAGAGCTCTTGCTGTGTCCCTGGTGGCTATGGAGGATTTATTCCCTGGTTCTGGAAGGCAGGAACATTGCATGGGCTCAGCCTGGTGGGATTTGTCACCTCAAAGGCAGCGAGAGCAGTGGTGACAGGAAGGGTTGGAGTGTCCAGTCCCATGAAATGGTTCTATTGCTGTCAAAACCACCTGGGGATGCTGTTCCAGGCAGGAAGAGTTCGGGAGTGCCCTGTGAGGGGGCAGAGGGGCTGTTCAGAGGGGCATCTGTGGCTTTGGCAATCCCTGCCTGCACTTAGCCACGAGAAGAGATTCCTGGGACAAGCACTGAGCTCCAGCACGTGGGATTCAGTTGTAGGTGTAGGGAGCACGCTGGTGGCACGCTGGGCTCTGGGAGCTGAGCTCTGCCATCTGGAGATCCTCCCTGCCACAGCCCCTAACGAGATTACAGAGATTACAGCCTAAGAACCATGTCTGATTAGCCCCAGGGATGGCAGAAGGATTTTCCAGCACCTAAATACGGAGCAGGGATCCTTCTCATCTGACACTTTCAGCCTCCCACCAGGCTGAGGGAGCCTCCCACAGCTGGAGTTGTTCCCCTTGTGCTTCCTCCTTCCCTCAGGTTTGGAAATACAGTGGGAACACCCTTGGATCCAGGGATAGATGAGTGGGTGCTGAGCACCAGTTTATTACTGGATGAGTCTGGTGTTTTCCAGCCTCTAGAGGGGTTGAGCTGGTGGAGCACAGTCAGTCTAAGCAGGACTCACCCTGAACAAGCCTGGCCACTGTCTTTAAATGCTTCCAAAAATCTGTTTTCAAGATTGCTCAGGTTACAGGGGTTGTTTTCTGGGCAGCAGTTGGTGCTAGAGTCTTTGCCTTCAACTCAAGGAGCCACCTGGTAACGGGAAAGGAGGGATTGGAGTGCTGAATAAATGCCATGATGGTGGGGGTGCCTTTCCCAGGAGAAGGGAAAAGAGACCATGGTAATCCCAGAGGGAACTGGGAGATGTTTTGCACAGTGCAGCCAAGGTGCCTTTGTCCAGCTACTTCATCTCTCAATGCACCTCAGAAAGCAAAGGGATAGGGGAGGAGAAAGGCCTTAAGTGCAGCTGGGAAGGCTGTGGGAGGTTGGATGTGAGCTGGGCTGGCAGCTCACCCTGCCTGGGGATGAAGCTGCTCCAGCCCTCTCGGCTTCCTGGGTCAGGCCAGCTGCAGCAGCTGAGATTTTGGATGGTGGTGGCTTGTCCCAGGACACTGGTGGGGCATTGTCATTAATTTGGGGAGTATCTGATGTGTACAGCTACCCTGGAGAAAGAAGATAGTTTTGCTTTCCTAGATTTAAAATAGAAAATTCCTGTAATTGTTGCTTCTCTGGTTATAGTGAGTGGGACCTTCAGTTTTTCCAGCATTTTCCTGCATGCTGGTGACTCCTCTGCCAAGTTGGTTTTCATCTCCTGGCTGGAGCAGGGCCCTTCCCCAGACCATGCCACCTGGAATACAAAACCTCATCCCACCTTCTGCCACCCTGGTTTCTTCCAGGTCACAACAGCTTTGCTCATAAATCAGGGAGGAATTTTCTCAGTGCTTTCACCTGTGAGCCCAGCGTGGCTGGGCTGAGCTCATTAGCACCAAGCTGGGAGTTGGCAGCTCTGATTTATGAAGCAAAGCGATGCCAAAAGAGTATGAGGGGAGCATTTTGTCTCTCACAACTGACACCTGCAGCATCCCAATGTGCAGGTGAGCTGGGGACATGTGTCCATCCCCTTTGGAAGGGGCAACTTCCAGTGTCAGCCTTTGGAGTGAGCTCAAGAATTTCTCTGCTGCTGTCAGTTTGTGGTGTTAAAATTGATAGGAAACAGTTTGGATGTGTTTATTGAAGCTCCAAGGTGGCTTTGCTCATCCCAAGACTTCAGTGTGGCCAGATTCTGCCCGTGCTCCTCCCCAGAGAGTTAAAAAAGCCATCACACATTTGTCACTAGAATCAATAGTGGTGTCAGCAGCGCTGTGCTGGGATTGCTGCTGCTGTCATGTCCAAGCAGCATCTCCTGGGTGGAGGCAAAGCCCTTTCCTGGCAGTGGGAGGGAAGGTGAGATTCCCCCCAGGGATGGTTCAGCAGCACCACAGGATGCTGCTCCTTAGAGCTGCTGCTCCTCAGAGCTGTGGCTTTGCTCCTGTTCCTCTCCCTGCTCCTCTTCCTGCTCTTCTGGGGAAGGAGTGGGGGGAGGCTTTTCTTCACTGCCTTTTGTGGAGCAGCTCACCCTGAACCACACCAGGAATGCTTCCCATCTCTTGGTGTTCCACACAGGCTCTGCTGATAGATGGGAATCCTTTTCCCCAGCATGTGCAGTCTGCAGAGTCTCTGCTGCTGTTCAGGTTTTATCCAGAGGAAAAGCTTCCCCAGGCCAGCAGCTCTGTGTCCTGCAGACCATCCTTGTCTGCTCCCCAGGGCAATGCAGCCCATCACATTGGCTTTCTATGCTACATCCACAGGTGTCTCCCAGCTTCATCCCTCAAAAAACATTTCTCCATCAACTTTTCCCTAGTTTCATAACCTTGCTGCTCAGCCCAGGGGTTGCATAGAGTGGTTGGGTTGGAAGGGACCTTGAAGATCATCCAGTTCCATCCCCCTGCCTTGGGCAGGGATACCTTCCACTTGCATTTCTTAAAGCTTTATTCTCCTTCTCGGTCCTCCTTGTTCTGGCCTTGCTGAAATAAATAGTTGGATGCTGCTCCAATGTATTTTCCAGCACGTTTCTTCTTTTCCTGCTCCACACTCTTCACCACTATCTTGTGTTTGGTAAAGACATTAAACTGCTCCAGGAGTGAGCAGTGCTTTTGTGGGAGATTCCAGGCTGGTGCCTCTGGGCAGGTCAGATGTGGGGTTGTCTCTGCTGTGAGAGCTGTTTTGGGATGCTAGGGAGGGGACTCCTCTGTTGTAGAGTACAAATGCACTGGCTGTATCCTGACCCCACTGGGCAGCTCTGAGGGACAGCACAGAGCTGAGCCATGTCTGGCACCTGCTGTCCCCCAGCTTTGCAGGAGACCCCTCATGTGCTGGCAGAGCTCTCCTGGCCCTGTGTCCCTCCCTTTCCCCTCATCCCTCTGCTCAGACCGGCTCCACCCTCTCCAGGATTGAGTTTCCCCCTGAGCCCTGACTGTAGCCAGCTCCCAGCTCCCCCATAACGTTGCCTGTCCTGTGTCAGGGCATCCCCTGCAGGATGATGAGGTTATCATCATGAGATCCCATCTGCCATGCTGGGAGCAGGCGCCTCTCCTGTGTTTTGGCATCAGGATGCTGCTGGAGCAAAGACCAGGCTCAGTGAGGGGTTTCACAGCAGCAGCTGTTTAGGGATGACCACGATCTGGATGTCCAGGGCTGCCCTGCATCTGTGGAAGGAGGAGCTGTGCCCTGGTGTAGGCACTTCCCACCCTGCACTCCCAGAGATTTGCTCCTTGCTCTCGGTTTTCCAGCTCCAGCATAGCAATATAATAATTCTCCAATAAACAGCCTCACTCCCTAGAGCATCACCTCTGCAGGTGAGATGACACTTGGCACAGTGTCCTTGGCCAGACACCTCTCTGTGGTGCCTGAGCATGATGTGGGGCCTTATCCCTGGGGCTGGATCGGTGTTTGCTGCTTCCACATCTATCCTTGGGTTTGGAGAAGAGGAAAAAGCCAAAGCTGGGCATCCCACCACTCCACAGGGTGGATTTGGGCACGGGTGGCAGAGTGGGGGATGTGAGAGTGGGGATGTCACCTGCAGCACAGGGCACAGCACCCAGCACTCAGCAAACCTGTGGGGTGGGAGGTGTTGGTCTGTTTTTGGGAGCTCACAGGGAGTTCTGTGCTGTGGGAGGGGTGCTTGGCTGCACCCTCCGTGCACGGAGTATTCCCCTTCCTGGAGACTTGGACTCAGCAGGGAGCCTGCGTTTTCTTTAAGAGTGCCTCAGAAACCAAACAAATGTTCTCCCAAAAGAAAACCCCAGGGATCCAATGATGTTTCTTTTGTTCCCCAGGGGCCTGAGTCCAGCAAATGACAGCGGAGCCAAAAAGAAGAAAAAGAAACCCAAACGGAAGAAAGAGAAAGGAGGAGGAGGAGACCAGCCTGACCAGGCTCAGGACCAGCCAGTGAAGGTGACCAACCCCTTCCTGGAATCCTGACCCCCCCACAACAGCCAGCCCCAGCCCAAACCTCTCCACTGTTACTTAGGCCAAGGAAAGAGTTCCCAGCCCTGGTTTTAGGCACTGTAAAAACTTCAGATTTTGAGTGATTTCCCAGCCTGGCTCCGTGTGGGGGAATTCCTGTTGGTGCAGAAGGTGTTTGCAGAGCACTCTGGGGATAGTGCAGTCCTTGGCTGGATATCCCAGCTAGTTCCAGGGTCAGACTGGCGCCTCCAAGTTGTTCTTCCCAGACACCAGGTGCCTGTCTCAGGCAGGAGCTGCCACCTGCCAGCTCCGAGTGCTGCCCGCAGCAGCATGGGGGTGACATCTGGTGGTGTTGATTTTTTGCTTGATGATCACAAGAACAACAGCTGGGGAGAGCAGGGTCTATCTTATTCCTCCTGGCTTTGCCTGATCATCTCCAGCAGCCAGTTATTTGGGAAGCAGCTTGGGACACACAGGGTTTGACCCTCCTGGCCCTCTTGTCCCCTCTGGTCCTGTGGCAGAGGACACACATCAGCAGAGGCTGTTTTCTGTCTGATGCCCAGTTCCCATCCAAATATTTTGAATATTTTGCCTATCTGATTGTGCAGAGCTTTAAACTGGGGCTTTGCTTTTTTTCAAACTAAATTCCTCAGGGATCAGAGAGGAGCTGGGGTTGGGAATTCAGTGCAGAGCCATCCACCCTGAGGAAGAGGAGGATAAAAGTGTCTTTCATCTTGACTCAACCTCTCTGCCTTGTCCCAGTCCTGGTGCCCAGGGACTCCTCTGGAAGCTGCAGTTTGTGAATACAGATCCAGCTTAGAGGGAGGAGGCTGAACAGTGAGAGAGAAAAGCCACTGAAGGAATCCCGAGTGCTGGGGGTGGGTTGATCCATCTGTCTCTGCAGTATGTCAGGTGGGGAGGTTTGCTCCTGGGGCTCACAGCACACACTTAGCTGAGGCTGGTGGAAGGGTTCATCCATCCTGTCAAGAACTGAGGATGGAAAGGGAGATTCCTGCCTGCTCTGCCTTTCCTGGCAGCACCCCACAACAGGATCAGCTCCAGATTCCCCTAATGAGGAACCCACATACAGACCTGGTGGTTCAGCTTACTCATTTTGTCTTTCCACCCTCCTTTTTGCCCTGAGGTGAACTCTTTACCTGCTGAGAGGATCCAGGAGATTCAAAAAGCCATCGAGCTCTTCTCTGTAGGTCAGGGCCCTGCCAAAACCATGGAGGAAGCCAGCAAGAGGAGCTACCAGTTCTGGGACACACAGCCAGTGCCCAAGCTAGGTATGTGCAGCCCCTCCATGTCCTGTGGGCTCTGGGGGAGGCCTTGTGGTCCCCAGGCTGCTCCAGGAAGCCCTCAGAGAAGCCTGGAGATGCTGATCTGTGGCCACCAAGTGAGTCCCTGCCTGGCCTGGGCTTCAGAGGCACCAAAACCACTTCTCCACCATTCAGCAACATGGGCTAGGTGGATGGGGAGGGTCTGAAGAGCTGTGCAGGCACTTCAGGGGGTACAGAGGGACACGGAACCACTCCAGACATCTGAGCTGCTGCCTCCTGCATTGTCCCTTATATCCCCTAATCCCAGTCCTTAGCCCTGGAGTTGGGTTTCCCCCGTGCTCTGTACCCAGGTTTTGTGTGTGGTGTGTCCATCCTATGGACTCAGAGCTGTCCAGCTCTCCCCTTCCTGGAGGCTGAAGCTTCCCAGACAGGGATCCTTGGAGGGGAAGGTCACTCTGGCTGGGTTGGGGCTGGGAGCAGCTCTGGGAAGCAGGTCCAGTGCTGAAATGCCACATCCCTGCTGGGCTCACATCCCTCTCTGGCACAGGCAGGAGCTGCAGCTGGGCCAGGAGAGGGGAAACACAAACATCAAAGCATCTTCACCCCAAGCTGCCATGATCCCCAAGGATGGGGAGCCCCATCTCTTGGTCCCCTCTTCCCCCTGTGAACATCCCAGTGGTGCTTCCCAGCTCTGGTCCTTGCTCCAGCCCTTCCTCTTGCTCCTGACAGCCTGTGGCAATGATCTGACACTGACAGCATGGCAGGAGCTCTCAGAGCAGATGTGCCAGGAGAGCTGCCTGGCTGGAAGGGACTCATTCCCAGGCTGATTGGGGTGCCTGGCATAACTTTACTTTAGTCCCTCCTCATCTGCATCCCCCCAAGCTCAGGGGAACTAGAGAGTGAGTCCAAGCCCACAATTTCTAGATTTGTCCAAAACTTGTCATGGCTTCAAATTTGCTGCTCTTCAGTATTTCCCTTCATGGGTTTGTGTCCCTTTTGCTGCAGATGCAGTGTTTGATTCCCATTCTCTGTTGTCCACATCACTCTGAGGCCTTTTTGGTTCTCAAAAACTTTTCTGGGAGCAACAATCTCAGTTTTAAGTTGGGAAAAAGTGAGATGACATGTGGTCATATGAGACAGCAGTCTGGTCTTGCATTTGCCCTTTTTCCCAAGATGCTGGACACGGGGAAACATCATTTCTGCTTGGGAAAACCCTGAGGAAAGGGTGGAAGGTGTTTCCTGGGGAGTGGGAGGCACAGAGCAGCTCGTCCCTCCCAACACCACAGTGGTGGCTGTGCCTGGCTGCCGGCCACTCACGGTGTCCCAGCACTCCTCGTGGTCCTGGTGTGCTCTGGCACACAGCATTACAGACATGGGGCTATTTAGGGCTCCATAGCAGAAGTGCTGTGGGATTTTTGGGGCCAGATCTCTTAACAATTCAGCACCTGCTCAAAACAGAGAGGGCGGCCAGGGGTGAACGATTCTGGAAGCTGCGTGGGGTGGGTGTGATGGGGGAAGTTTTTGCTCCGTGTTTTCATCACCTCCCCATTGCTTGGAAACCTTTTCAATGCCTTTTTAAGTGAATTCCTAATTAGCATGACTTGCCTTTCTTGGCAGCACTGAAGTGATGCTGCTGGACTGACATCCCTGAGAAAGCCGGAGCTCGAGCCGACATCTCCTGGCTGAATCAGGGGCTTTAGGACTCGGTGGTTTTACAACAAACGTTGTGTTGTTCACTGCAGCTCTTCTTCAGGCACAGTGGGCAGGAAACCCTGACACTTGCCAAGTGGCAGTGGCCAGAGCTGGCAGATCACCGTCCCACAGAGGGGCTCACGGGAAAGTGCTGGCCCAGGCTGGGATTGTGGGGTTGAAGAAGGGTCAGGCATCACGTGTGGAGCTGGAGGATGTAGCTGTGGCTGTGCTGGGTCACCTGATGGGCTTCACTGTTGCCCTGGAAGGAATTTTGATTCCCTGCCCATTGTCACATCCCACACTGGGTGGGTGAAGTGACAATCCCTGTCTGCCACTGCAGGGCTGGGAGACATGAGGCACACTGGACACCAGACTGAGGTGTTGTGGAGGCTTGGCCTCACACACTAGAGAAGCTCATGGCTCCCTGCTGTGTCTTACAGGAGAAGTGGTGAACACCCACGGTCCGGTGGAGCCGGACAAGGACAATATCCGCCAGGAGCCGTACACCCTGCCCCAGGGCTTCACCTGGGATGCCCTGGACCTGGGGGATAGAGGTGTGGTGAGTACAGGCAGCTCAGCACACGTGGGTTGGAGTGTCGTGGTTGGCAGTTCAATGCTTGCACTGTTGGAGGAGGTTTTAGATGGAAACGTGTCCTTCACCACAGCAGGTGATGCTCTGGCTCTGTCACACCATCTCCTTAGGCTTGGATGGCTCTGACTCCCTCCAGTGCAGCTCCCTTTTACCCATCCCAGATTGGGCAGCTTGGCCTGGCTTTTCTAGGGGATGTAAGCATGCCTGATGCCCAGAGTTCTCCTGTAGCCCCTTTAGAGCATGAGGCACCCCTGGGAGGTGACAGGATTTACCTGTGTCCTGCTGCTCCCCCTGCTCTGTGTGCCACTGCTCCAGGACCCAGCGGCAGGGGCATGGCTGCACATGGTGCCCCAGTGCTGTGGCCACACATGAGGTGGTCAGGGTCCTGTCTGGGGGCATTTGATGGCTGAGTAACCTCCTTAACCTCCGTGCTCTGTGCTGCTGCAGCTGAAGGAGCTCTACACTCTGCTCAACGAGAACTACGTGGAGGACGATGACAACATGTTCCGCTTCGATTACTCGCCCGAGTTCCTGCTGTGGTGAGTGGCACCAGGAGTGCAGAGCAGGAGGTGTGGGATGTGTGACAAGCCTGATCCTGGTGACAGGGCTGCAGCTGCCTTTGCTTATCCTGTCTCCCTTCTTCCTGAAATGTCCCTTCCCCATCTGTCACTGTGTACGGTGTCCCAGGGACACGGTGAGAGGGGACACCCAGCCCTGCCTGCCTCTGGCTCCTTCGAGATACGGGAGCCTAAATTGGACTTTCTTCCTCTTTGGTTTGATCCCTCAAGTGAATTTGTGAAAATCTCAGTAGCTGAGGAAGTGCCCTGGAGCTGTGGGATGAAGGCAGCTGCCAGCAATTACCCTTGGAGTCCTCTTGCAGCAGAGCTGCTGTTTCCTCAGGGTGTTCCTGAATCAAGGAACAGATTTCCTCCTGTGTCCCTAGTGAGGACTGGCCATGGAGTGCAGGAATTGGCCTGGATCCCACCAGTCCTTGTCACATCACTGTCACTCTCTCATCCTCTTGCCAGCGAGCAGGACTCAGGGTGTCCCAGGGCAGGGTGAGGGGCAGGGGCAAGTACCAGGGACCTTGTGTGGGAGGTGACAGCTGAGGTGTGTCCCCTCCCCAGGGCACTGCGTCCTCCAGGCTGGCTGCCCCAGTGGCACTGTGGGGTCCGAGTGGTCTCCAGCAAGAAGCTGGTGGGATTTATCAGCGCAATTCCAGCCACCATCCACATCTATGATACGTGAGTGCTGCTGCATTTCTCATCCTGCCCCTTGCTGACACCTGGGCCTTTGTGGGAGTGCTGAGGGGGTCTGGCTGCATTGTCCTCCCAGCCCATAGCCAGACCTGCACCCTTCAGCTTTGGAGATGTTTTGCTGCTTGGAGGAGAAGATGGGGGATATTTAAGGGTTGGCAGAGAGGTTCTGGGCAGGGATATCTTGTGGTTAACCACTGTGAAGGCTGTTTTCCTCAATGAGATAGGTTAACTTACAGCTCTGCCTTACAAAAATCATCCAGGGCTAGGTGGAGACGTAGAATCATAGAATACCCTGAGCTGGAAGGGATCTCCAAGGATCATCCAGCCCAGGTCCTAGCCCTGCACAGGGCAGCCCAGCAATCCACCCTGTGCCTGAGAGCATTGTCCAAACTTCCCTGCAGCTCTGGCAGCCTTGGGGCTGTGACCATTCCTTGGGCAGGAGATTCCCTGGACTGTGCCCAGCCACCCTCTGGGGCAAGAACCTTTCCCTTATATGCAACCTGACACAGATTCAGACCATTTTCCATAGGAATCCCTGGGTAACAGCTTAAGGGAGGGTTCTCCAAACCCAGCCCCTGTCCCTTCCCTGAGGTGTTGACTCCTCATTCCCTTGAAGTGCCTTGGGCGTTGGTCTGATCCTCCCAGGTCAGGACAGTCAAACCTCATGCTCTGCATTGTTTTTTCCCCAAGAGAGAAGAGGATGGTGGAGATAAACTTCCTGTGTGTCCACAAAAAGCTGCGTTCCAAACGGGTGGCTCCGGTTCTGATCCGTGAGATCACGCGGAGGGTGCATCTCGAGGGGATCTTCCAGGCTGTTTACACTGCGGGAGTGGTGCTGCCAAAGCCTGTGGGGACTTGCAGGTGAGTGGCTGTGGCTCACCCAAGGTTTCTGTCTGCAGACCTTCCCTTCCTGAAGCCCCTTCTGTGGCCAGTAGTGTGTGTGGGATTCCCTGGGACAGGAGAGAGTGATCCCAGCCCAGGTTTCACTTCCCGCGCTGTCCTTCCAGGATTAAGTGCAGTGGCTTTGCCAAAGCTGCTCGTGTACCACAGGAGAGGAGGCTTTGGCAGCACAAGCACTTCAGAACCGTGTTTCTCTCTGTGGGGAGCTGCTGGCCTGATGTTCTCACCTGCCCTCGCGGCAGCCACGGGAACCTCGAGCCCCTGCAGCCTCCCCCCTGCCCCAGAACGAGTCTCCCACTGCCAGTGTGTTTCTGCAGGTATTGGCACCGCTCCCTGAATCCTCGGAAACTCATCGAGGTCAAATTTTCCCACCTGAGCAGGAACATGACTATGCAACGTACCACGAAGCTTTACCGGCTGCCCGAGGTGGGTGCCAGCCGGGAGCACAGCTCAGGAGTTGCTCCTCACTGGGCAAGGGGAGAGGCACAAACATCCTGGTCGAGGTCAAGTCCTCTGCCTGGAGACCCAGGGTTTGTTCCATGTAGTAAATGACTCTGTCAAACAATTGTGCTTTATTTAATCTTTATGTATTATTGCCTGGGTACCTGCATTTTAAGGGCAAGTTCTTGCAGTTAAAAGGACCCTGTGAGTTTTGTTTGCTGATGAGTCATAGCCTGTTGTCCTGGAAAAATGAGCAGGCAGATGTGACAGCCTTCATCTGTCCAAACACAACCTCAGTGTGACCTTGGATTGGGTTAGTCCCTCATTCTTCAGTCACACTGATCAGTTCTGGCACTGCAGTTGTCCTGCTGGGGAGGTTCCCCAGCTGGAGATGGAAGAGAAGGAAACAAACTGCATTAAAATTGCCACCACCTTCCCTGACCTTGCTGGCTCCTTTCTGTCAGCCAGAGCTGCCCCTATGGGGTGGAAAGTGCTGCTTTCATGCTGGGCAGCTCCCAGCTCCTGCCTCCCACAGCCACACAGCCAGCAGTTGCTGGGCTGGAGCTACTGGTTTTTGCACAGAAACTTAGCCCCAGAGCAGATCAGGGCTTGCTGAGCCATCCCAACCCTAGATTAGTAATTGAGGCCAACTGGGAATAACATCTTGTCGAGCCTGGGACACATCTCCCAGCCCATGCCTGCTGTGAGTGGGAGCAGGCACCTGGAGGGGTGCAGAGTTCGTGTCGTGGGTAGGAGACCACTTCCAGTGGGACCTGACCTGGCACTTGGGGATTTGGGACATGCTGTGCTCTCTGTGATCTTTGTCATCAGTGTCACAGCCGAACACATCCATCCTTGGCTGGGCACACAGGGCTGGGGGGCTGAAAATGGGCTGATGTAAGCAGAGAGTGTCTCTGTCCTGCTCCTTGGAGAGCCCTTGGGTGATGAAAACCACTGTGCAAGCAGTGAAACAACTTGTCCCACTTTCTGCAGACTCCCAAGACTCCCGGCTTGCGGCCCATGGAGCACAAGGACATCTCTGCTGTGCACAAGCTCCTGACTGAGTACCTGAAGCAGTTCCACCTGACACCCGTGATGAGCCGAGAGGAGGTGGAGCACTGGTTCGTACCTCAGGAGAACATCATCGACACCTTCGTGGTAGAGGTGAGGGGCAGGAGCAGGATGGGAGAGGTGTTTGCCTGGGCTTTTGCCTCTACTGGAGCTGTGGGAGCAATCAGGGAGGAGCTCTGTGCCCCTCTGGGATGGGAATTTGGCGGAGGATGGTGCCTCCATCCTGGGCCCTGGGTCTCCCTGCAGCCATCACTCCAACCGGGAGAGCCCCTCTAAGGCTCTGGCCAGGCTTTATCCTAGCCTGACATGTTGTGATGTCACTTCTGCCTTCCAGAGTGCCCCAGGAGAGGTGACAGACTTCCTGAGCTTTTACACACTGCCCTCCACCATCATGAACCACCCGACTCACAAGAGCCTGAAAGCTGCTTATTCCTTCTACAACGTTCACACCAAGACGCCTCTCATCGACCTCATGAGTGACGCGCTCATCCTCGCCAAGTCGGTGAGGAGGCAGGGCTGGGCTGGCACTGTGGGACGCTGGCAGCTCACAGGAGCTCACCAGCAAACTCCCAGGGCAGCTCTCTGCAGGCTGCCCACCCTTGGGTTTGTGGGAAGGGCTCCTTCCCAGGACCAGAGAAATCCAAATCTGAAAGGCTCTGCCACCCAGGAGAGGGGTGCAGGGGTACCTTGAACCTTCCAGCCTGTGGTGAGCTGAGCTCGGGGTGTTACTCATGTCCTACAGCAAACAGTCCTGTAGTAATTGGATTGAGGGTGAGGACACCAAGGCTGAGCTCTTCCCTTTTCCTGGGATTCAAAGGCAGGCAGGAGAGGGGGCCAGGCTGCTCACAGGTGGGAGGAACTTCCCAGCACAACAGCAGGAACTGATGGCTTCATGTCTCCCTGTGCAGAAAGGATTTGACGTCTTCAATGCACTGGATCTCATGGAAAACAAAACCTTCCTGGAGAAGCTGAAGTTTGGGATCGGGGATGGGAACCTGCAGTATTACCTGTACAATTGGAAGTGTCCCAGCATGGCACCAGAGAAGGTCAGTGCTGTGAGAAGGGGTCTCGTCCCCACAGCCCTGGGGACGTGGGTTTGCTGTCACCCAGAGCTCAGCATTCCAGCCCAGCCCGTGTCCTTGCAGTGTCACCCACAGTGAGTGAATCCATGTGCCACCTCCCATGCCTGCACAGAGCGTGTCCCTGGGGAAAATCCCTCCACACTCGTCTTCCAAAGCTAATTTTATTCCTGGAATAGTGCAGGTTCAGTCCTTCCCTTCACACCAACCTCTTCCCTGTGAGGATGGAGGGCAAGCACAGAGGAGACAGCAGAGGGCTTCAGGGTGACAGATGTGACACCGAGGGTTGTGACAGTTGCCTGTGATCCCGCACAGGACCCGGGTGTCACTGCACAGCCCTGGGTGTCAGCGTGTCCTGGTGGGGTGGGAGGAACAGCCATCCCTCTGCAGAGAACAGACAGGTTGGAGCAGGACCTGTGACAGAGGAGCTCTGCCACCACATGCAGGGATCCACGAGACCCCAGGATGTCATTTGTCCCCAGGGCCAGCAGCCTGTTCCCAGTGACCTGCTCCCAGAGCTGTGCTGCAGCCCCATCTGCCTGCCCTGGGCCATCCTGAGGCAGCACCTGGTTGCTGCTGTCCCTCCACACCAGAGATGTGAGTCAGCATCTCCAGCCCACAGACACCTTGCAGAGGATGGTGCTTGAGAACCAGGATCTGCCCAGCTACATCACAGCTAATTAATGCCTTAACAGCTAATTAACGCCTTGATGGCAGTCACAGGGCTTTGGTTCCCTGGTGTGAAGCCAAGTCTGTCTCTGTGCCCTAAACCAGCCTCTCTTGCTGAGCCTCCTAGGAAGCCCCAGGAGGTGTCAGCAATCCCTTCCTTTGCTGGGAAAGCTGCGGGGAGAGCCTGATGCTGGGAATGTTTCCTGTAGTGGGGCTCTGGGTCAGAGTGCATGAGCGGCCACCAGCACATCCTGGAGAGTCCCCAGCAGTGCCAGCTGCCTGCAGAGGGACATGTCCAGGCACCAGGCCCTTGGGAAGCAGCTTCTCCCAAGTCACAGAATCATGGAACGCATTGGAAGGGACCTTAAAAGGTCCCTTGTTCCACCCCTGTCACAGGTAGGGATGCCTTCCATTATCCCAGGTTGCTCCAAGCCCTGTCTGACCTGGCCTTGGACACTTTGAGGGATGGGGCAGCCCCAGCTGCTCTGGGCAGCCTGAGCCAGGGCCTGCCCACCTTCACAGGGAGGAATTTCTTCACAGTATCCCATCTAACCCTGCCCTCTGGCAGTGGGAAGCCACTGCCCCTCATCTGTCACTCCAGGCCCTTATCCAGAGTCCCTCTTGGAGCCTCTATCAGCACTGGAAGGAGCTCTAAGGCCTCCCTGCAGCCTTCTCCAGGCTAAACAGCCCCAACTCGTAGGAGGGGTGTTCCATCCTTCTACTCAACAGGAGCTGAGAAACATCCTTGGCTCATGAATCAAGGCTGTCTCATAAGCTGACGGGGCTTGTTACACCCCAAACATTGGTCACCTCCCCAGATGAGAGCTGGGCAGGACCCGTGTGCCCATTCAACCACAAACCCAGCTCTCAAATATTTGCTGCTCTCAAATATCCCAAAACCAGTGGGGAAACCCACACAGACAACACCGAGCCCTCCCAGCTGCGTCCACACAGAGCTGGGAACGGAGCAGAGGACACATCCTGACCCCTGTTTCCATTGCTCCTAGGTTGGATTGGTGCTGCAGTAAGGGAGCCCTTGCCAGGAGAGCGTGGAGGAGCTGGGCCTGCAGAGGTGCTGCCCTCATCCTTTCTGCCAAAGCCAGACCCATGCTGGGAGAGGGGGACCGGAGCCGCCGCCCCTGCTGCTGTCAGCCGTCTCCTTGTTTGATTTAACTGCATCCTCCTAAAGACATGATCAAGGGAATGTAACTGCTGAAACTAGATCATGATTGGCATATAATGGATTTAACGGGTGAATAATAAAAGTATATATTATATATATTTTAAATCTTTCTTGTTCCCAACTGCCATGAGTTGCATTCGGCTGCTGAAGTTTCATCACTGGGCTGCTGGACTGGGACTTTTCTCCATGGGGACAGCTGAGGTTGATGCTGTGGCAGTGGCATGCTGGAGCACCAGGACGTGGTGGCTGCTGGCCAAACCCTCCTGCCTGCCCTGAGGGTGCTTCAGGCTCTCCCCTGCTCGGCTCTTTGCCCCCCGTTTGCTCCTGACTCCATTACACAGGGTCCCTCCCCGTGGGCTCAGGAGCACGTCGAGATTCCTTTCAAAGGGCTATTTGTGCAAGCGATGCCTTGTCCCATCTCCTGCCCAGCCACGGAGACTCCAACCCTTCCTGCTCGACGCTGAACTGAGGGGCAGCAGCGCCCGAACATCAGCGGGGATTCAGCTCCGCAGCTCGGCTCACCCCGCTCTGCTCGGACTCCTGGGGCTCCTTCCCCTCAGCCTCCCCATGGAGCAGCAGGCACCAGGGAATGCTCCACTGCCTCTGCTGCACCTCCGGCCTCCGCTCAGCCGCTTTTCTCTGGAAGCATGGAAATACGGATACGCGCCATCGGCATCACCCTGGGGCCTCAGCCTCCCCAGCCCCGCGGTGCCTCCAGCACCAGCTCCCGGTGTCACCTCGTGCTGCAGGATCCGCTGAGAGAAAGGAAATGTTTTCATGGAAAACCTTCATCCCATCGAGATCTTTTGGGAAAGGAGTGCCCGGACAGCCTCCTGCCATGTCATGAACCTTGTCCGCCCAGAGCTCCGAGATGCTCCTGCCCGCCCAGCCAAAGGTTTCCAAAGCTGCACACCAAGGCCAAGACCCCGTCTATGCACTCTCACACCTCCCTGTCCCTGCGTGTCCCTGTCACACCCCGTGGCACCACGGACCCTGAGAGCCTGTGCCCACCCCAGCCTGGACCTGTGGGGCCTCGGTGGGGACCAGGAACCCATCACATCCCCCCTGGCAGTGTCATCACATCCCCCCTGTTTGGGGTCCTGTGTCACCTATGCAAGTACCTCTGTGTCCCCTCCTGTGTCCCTGCTGTCCTGGGCTAGGGGAGGCTGGGTGAGGGTGGGGGACACCCCATGGGACCCTCCCCCTGTTCCCATGGCAGGTTTGATGGCTGCTCCAGTGAACCCCCCCAGCTTCCATGGGTGCAGTACCCTTGGCTGCTTGGCAGCTCCCCAGGGCACCGCTGATTTGGGGATGGGCTCAGCCCTGATCCACCCACAATGGGCTCCAGGGGGTGACAGGGACACTGGGACAGGCTCTGTTAAAATAAAATCTTTATTCGACTGGCTTGATCCCGGGGTGTAAATCTGTGACTGTCACTGGTGCCAGAGCAGAGCTTGGGAATGTCCCCACCCGGGCACAATGGAGTGTGTGGTGGCAGGGTCCCCTCAGGGACTGCAGGGTGATGGCACCGTCCCTGCACCCCAGGAGAGGGGCTGAGATCAGGTGTGCCAGGACTGGTGAGATTTGGTGTCACCCCTGTGCGGCTGTGCTGAGCTGTCCTTGGCCCAATCAACCCATCCTGCTTGTCACAGCATCTGTCCCCTCAGGGAGAGGAGGCAGATTGGGTGGCACTGGGGAGCAGGGAGGGGAACCCCCACCCCTTTGGGTCCTCCCAGCCCTGCTGTCACCACAGGCAGGTGAGCGGTGTCCTTGGACTGTCCCCACGCAGGGTGCCCACCCATGGAGGAGCCTGTTGTCCCCCACACGCAGACACACCGTCCCTGCCACGGGCAGTTGGGGACACAAGGATGTCCCCCCTGCGGACACCTCACAGGCTCTTGCACCGGACGTGCACGAAGAGCGTGGCGGGGGACAGGGACGCCCCGTCCTTGGAGAGCAGGTGGATGTGGCGGTACCCTGGGGACAGAGGGGGCTCAGCGGGTGCCAGGGGGCTGTCCCCGTCCCCAGAGGGCAGCAGGGTGGCACCTGCACCCACCTTGGCGCATGCTGGGCAGGGGCAGCGTGAACTGCCCCACGAAGTCGTTGCAGGAGGTGCTGTCATAGTCCTCCACCACAAAGCGCACCAGGGCCAGCTCGGGCACCCGCACCTGGAACCGCAGCGTCTCCTCCCAGCGCGGGTTGAAACCTGTGGCACCGGTGTGGGGGTGGGTGAGGCCACCGGGGCCACCCAGGGACCAGCAGGGACCAGCAGGGACCAGCAGGACCCCCCCATGCACTGCCCCGGCTGAGCTGCCGTCCTGCACTGGGGGATGTGGGGGATGTGGGGACTGGGGCAGGCTGCGGGACTGGGGGTGATGCTGGGGCCACAGTGGGGTGTACTGGGGAAAAGGGGGCCGTGCTGGTTCTGGACTGGGCTATACTGGGAGAATGGGGGTGTACAGTGACTGTGGAGGAGTGTGCTGGAGGGGTGGGATCATACTGGGACTCTGATGGGATATAGTGGAGGAATGGAGGATATATTGGAGCTGGGCTGGACCATACTGGGAGAATGGGGGTAACACTGGGGCCATAGTGGGGTATACTGGGGGAATGGGGGTCACACTGGGGCCACAGTGGGGTATACTGGGAGAATGGGGGTCACACTGGGGCTGTGGATACTGGGGAGAATGGGAATCACACTGGGCTTGGGCTGAGTGTACTGGAGGCCGTGAAGGAGTGGCACTGGGAAGAACTGGGACATGATGGACCCTGCCACTGGTGGGGATCTGGCTGTGCTGAGGAAGGGACATTGTGGTGCTCAGAGGGGACTGGGATGTCCTGGGCGCTGGTTCTACTGGCAGTGAGTGCTGGGTGTGGGTACCCAATGCACTGTCCCTCAGGGGGATCACTCTGGCATCAAGGTGTCCCTGGATCAGGGTCCCCTGGGGTGTCCCTGGCACCAGGAGTCCTGAGGGACCCCAGGCTCAGGTGTCCTGGCACTCCTGGACATCAGGGGGCCCTGAGGTGTCCCTGGTGTCCTGGAGCACCCCTGGAGATCAGGTTCCCTGGGGTGTCTGCAGGGATCAGGGTGCTCCAAGGGACCCTGGGGACCTTGGGCATTCCCGGGAATCGGCGAGTCATAGGGTTGTGAGAGGCAATAGGAATTGGATGTCCCTGAAGGTCAGGGTGCCCTAGAGTGTCCCCATGGGTCCAGGTTCCCAGGGGTGTCCCTGGGGGTGCCCAGGTGCCAGCACTCACCGTTGTTGAGCTTGTGGTGGGTCTGTTGCTTGGCGCAGTCGGCCGGGACCCCGTGGATCTCCACACGCACAAAGGGATCCACGATGGAGCTGCCCTTGTCCCTGTTCAGCTTGGGCAGCTGCTGTGCTGTGATCACCTGTGGCACAGGGAGCTGGGGACCAGGGGACAGGCACCACGAGGGGCCTGGGGGGAT